GTACAAAACCTGATTCAAAATGCTATGTGAACTCCATATGCTTTTACGGCTATACAAAAGGAGTGCAAGAAGATACCTTTCTAATATGGTAATGTTTTACAACTGCTTTGCAAGACAACAAAAAAAAAGTTAGAAAAAGCAGCTCAGAATTGTGCAGTTCGGCTGTTCATGAGTATGCAACTCCCATTGTTGACAAATGAGAGTTGCTTGACTTGACCACAGGCAGTATGAGGTCGAGAAATATTAACAAAATGCTTTCTTAACTGTTTATTTCTGCTTTTTTTTATATATATCCTTGCTGTGATGTAACAGAGCACTTGAGGTCAACTGCCAAACTATCAGTGGAGATGGAGTAAAGCACCTCTATCTAAGCCTTTGCTGACACAGTACTCAACTGTGACTCAGAGAGGGTAAGTTAACTTATTATACTTAGCTTTCTCTACTATGGTAAAATGAGTTGCAGAGAACACACTGAAAGCCAAGGGCCTCTAAATACTTTTCCCTTTTATGGAATAGAGCTCCCAGATCACCATTTCCTGGAGATTGTACTCTTAAGCCTACACAGTGGTAAAAGAAAGTTCTCTGCATTCACTGATCTATATCTGACTACAAATTTGAGCTCAGGGGATCAGTTTTTTCCTAACTATTTTAAGCAGTAAGTTTACAATAACAGACCAAATATTAAAAAGCACTCCATCCCCTCTTTCTTTCTTTTCCTTACTTTTTTTCTTTACATTGTCTCATCTTAGTGTGGGGATTAAGCAGAATCTGGTGAATAGGGTAGGTAATTTGTTTGTTTGTTTTCACTCATTTTGTAGGTGCAGACTAAGATTGTAGATCTTCGCCCACATCCACTCTTCTTGTGACATGTGAGTTAATCTCTACAAGTATTCCATTTTAGAAGGTAATTTTGAAGCTCTTGCAATCTCTAAAAGACTGGCATTTTGGGGGGGGGGATCATTTACTCTGATAAAACACTACAATAATCTCATGACATCCTTTGATAGGATAGAGGTAGACCAGACAGAGTTTGATCAATGCCTAACAAAAGAAATAACAGAATCTTGAAATTGTCTTAGTGACTAGGATGGTAACATGTGCTTACGCATCTTGACTGTTTTTAAAGTGCCAATTATTTATTTTTTTTTTTAATCTATCCTTTCAGGATCCTATCTATATTCAGGGACAGTAATTACAGTTGTTTCAGTTGGTATCTCACTGTATTGCATGTATTGTTAAAATATCATTTCCTTCTTTGACTGAAACATGTTTATGCTTGCGGAAAGGAGATAAAGCTGGCAAAGCTAACGGCAGCATGATTCCAAAGGCTGTTCAGGCTGTTCAGATGAGCCAGGCTTAGAACCAGGATAGTCATACTCTCTGCACTTTGGCTTAGGGTTCAGTAAGGCTGGAAGCTGTTTTTTTGTAGATAGAGGTGCAAATTTCTGTAGGTTCTAAGGCTGTACTCTTCCCTAATGCTCTACTGAAGAAGAAAAAAATGTACCTTCCAGGGAAACAAATTTTCCAAGGACATTCCTCTTCTTCCTACATTTGTGAGATAAGCTCCTCTGATTCTTGTTAGAGTGCTCTTATGAAGCACCCTTTCTCTATATGTTTTGATTCTCACTGACATTTACTGGGGCTCTTTTCATTGCCTGATCGGATAGGCATAAGGTCAATTCAGCAGTGATGGAAGAACATTTTTTCACTAGTATCTTAAGGTTCCATCATTTCTAAACCTTCTAAACCTTTGCTTTTCCTAATCAGAAAGTAGTAACTGATACAGAAGATGTCAGAACTCCTTGCACAGTATAGAGCAAGAGGGTGGCTCCATTGGTTATATCCATTTGCATTTACAAGATGTGATGTTTGTGCTGGTTAAGCATCATAAAGTCTTTAAAGGATCTGGACTACTGATTTTAAGAACACTGCACAGGCTTTTAGATCGAAAAAATAATCATTCAGGAGTTCTAAATCATATAGCTTGTGAATTGAACAATGTCCTTATATATTTTGTTGAAATACCAATAAGTAGTAGCCCTTACTTTGGCACCTTAGAGGACTGCAGCAGTGCAGTCAAGGCATGCAAAGACTGCATTTGTTTTAAGAATCCTCAGAATATGAATAATTATATACAAGCCCTTGCTGCTCCAATACAGTCCTCAGCACTGAGGATTTCTGGGGAGATACTAGGAAAAAATGGAAAGTCAGAAGAAGAAATTTTCCTACTGATCAGCACCACAAAGACTTGGAGCTTTTTCCTATTTGCAAGATAGTTCTGCAAGGAAGTCACAGTAAGGTTCTAATTGTGTCAGAAATGGACTGAACTCAGTCCACTCCAAATCTGGGGGTTGTCAAGGTGGCATAAATTCATCTTTCTACCCTCTGTTCTCCCTTGGCTGTACTTTCTGTGCTGCATCTCTAAGACAACACAGCTTGGGATTTGTCCCTTTCTATTCTTAGACAAGCCTGCTGATTTTTTTTTTCTTTCTTTTAAATTTTTTTGCTTTTTAAATCTGAAAAATGAACTGAACCTTGATGTGTTTAATAGCTCTTTCTTGTTTCAATATGACTTGCATTACTTTTTTAAGTTTAGTATGTACTAGGAAATCAGCTAAGACAGAGAATAAAACATTTTGATGCAATAGCTTATATAACTGCACGTAGGACTGCAAATATACTTTGGCTATGACTTGAAACATTCCTGATTTTTCAGGCCCAGCATTCTGTTGAGTTGAGCCTATCAGAACCATTATAAATTCATAAGGCACACACTAAGAGGGATTAGATAAACAGCTAAATTTATATCTTCTCTTTTTTGTTTTTGTTTGAATTTGAGTTCTTGCAAACTCAGAAATTGCATAGCATGACAGGATTTTGTTACAGAGAGGAGAAGTAAGTCTATGTCACTTTTTTCAGTTACCTCGCTTCTATCTTGTCTTCATGTGTTGTTAATAGTTGGTGACCATTGTTTGATACAAAAATCCTTAACTGTTGAAACACACAGATGTTTAATGCTACTGCTATCTGCCTAGTCTCTGTGGGTTTATTAAAATATATGTAATCATAAATGTCTGTTTTCCATCATATTAAGGACTTTAAAGATATTTTGCCTTAAACATTTTTAAATCTTCTTTTTATTCATAGAAAGCTTCCTCTACTTTTATTTGAAGTCAGAGGTGGGTAAAATCATGATACAAACGTGAGCTTCCACTTATTACAGTAGAGCTAGAAATTCACCTGTAACAGGTTCAAAATGTCTAGAAAAGCTTGAAACACGCTGTTCCTACAGCGTATGCTGCTCTGAAAAAAATTATGCTCACTGTTCAAGAAAAGTCTTTATCTTGGTCTTCATAAAGATGTCGTATGCTGCATCTTTTCCACTGTCTTTATCAAAGAACTTCAGTGAAATAATTATTTTTTTCTGGACACTTGTGTATGAGATAATTTAATAATATGAGATAATATAATACCTTGTGTAGAGATAATTTTTTACAATCTATTAGTTCTGCATTAAATTTTATGTGAGGTGGCCTTGTATTCCTCTTCTAGTAAAAGAGACGATTACATTTCCAGTATAATGTGAAATAAATCTAATAAAAGCATGGGTCTTAGCTGCTTCTGTAGTCCAAAGTTTTCACACATTCTGTAGGTTTTACAACACAGAATTTTTGCTGTGAAAGCTGAGGTGAGGAACTTGTCACTACTGAGGCTGCTTCAGTATTTCCTGGGAATGGTTTTGTGTCTCTTTTTTCTGTTGTGTTTTTTTTTTTAATCCACACAAATATTTTGACAATTTTAATTGTCAGCCTCAATAAACCTACATGTTTCTGAATACATTTCTTTGCTCTTCCCTGAAATGGAAGGGAAAACTGTGGAAGGTTAATCTTATAATGCTACTCAGTGTCTTGAACTTCAAATCATCTCCCAATCTCAACCTCTTTGTTCCATCTATCTTGATTTCCAGAAGACTGAAAGAATTGACATGAGATTAGTAATTCAGATTTGGGAGAAGATAGCATGTTTTGGAGGTTGAACCTATGCTTGTTGGGTATATTTATCTCCTTGGCAGACTATTGAAATTGTTATATTACTGTTTGAGTGTATAGCTCCATTCTATACACAGCTGTGAATTAACTGTAAAGGGAATATAGTTAGCTTTCACTAGTCCAGACAGAAACTGTGTAGCAGATTGTGTCTGATAACTGCACTGTCTGTCACCTGTAGGCACCACTGAGGAGTCGAATGTTTATGAGGACTGTTCCTTAACTATCCGGTAGGTGTCATAGTAAGTCTTGTAATACATACACTGTTATCTAGCTGTAGTAGCTGCAGTTAATTCCAGTAGCAAGAATTTTCTCAGCTAATAGGCAGTAATTTTTTTTTTAATTTTGTTTTTTTTTTGCCATTTGGGCATTACTGCTATTTTGCTTCGGAGTCTTGTGTAGATGTACACCCAAGTCTTTGCACAATTCACCTAGGCCTTGCTCTTACTCAAAGGAAGAGTGCCACCATCTGGGTTTCCAGTTTTACTCCTTTCTTTGATATCTGAGATCACAATCTGTAGCATTAGGACTTTGTTAGCTACTAAAAGGCGTATTATGCATATCTAGAATGCTGTTTCCTTCTTAGAGGATTTTTAGAGAGGGTAGTTTGATCACAGCCGAAACAGTCATAGTAACAAAAAAAAAAATCTGTAAAGGGAGGGAAGAGATGGAAATAGCAACAAGAAAGGAAGGTTGTCTGTTTTGAATACATTTCCTAAGTTATACTTGATCTTGAAAGCTTTAGTTAATAAAAGACAAGATAGCATTTTTAATTTTAAACCTTAATACTGTTTGTTATTGTAAAGTAATCTCAGTGTTAGAGCATAGAGTTTTAAACTGAGCTGATTTGTATTTTTGGCATCTAACACAGCCTGTGGATCACAAGACATCTCAGTGCTTATGCCTTCAGGCTAACTTGAAAAAGATATTCTCAGCAGTGCATGGTCCTGTTAGTCCACATTGCAGTTCCACGTGCTTCATCCTGTCCACCATGCCAACCTTACCTGAAGACAAGGGACAATCAAAAGAGACACAACACAATAGTTCTCCTCCAGCCAAAGTAAGCACTCTTACAAAGGTGTTTTCTGACCCTTGTTGGAAACCTGATGCTGAAACCTGTTTGTGCATATTTAGGAGTTTATAAAATAACATCTAATCATTGCTATGTATTAGTGTGTTTTGATTAATTGATGAAGCTATAAATGATCTTTCAATTGATATTCATAGAATTCTTCAAATATTTTATAGACTAAGAAATGAGAACTACAGTTGTCAAAGCGATTGTTTATCAATTTGATCTGGAGGCTTATATGTCTGTCTGTTCTGAACCATTTATATCAAAGCTGTCCAAAAATGTCCTTTGTGGTGTTATTACAGAAAACTTTAACCTTTCAGAAAAGAACTTAGGCTTGTACTTAACCGTAGTCTTGAAACATCTAGTGTTGCCCTTACAGATCTAGAAGATGCTATGTAATTCATGTGCGTGTGAAAGATGGAAATCTGCTTTTTGGTTTGTAGTCTTTCTCAGTGCTTTATTTGCCACAGTAGTATCTGAACTATATAGAAATATGGAGAGCAGGTGGGTGCTCCCCAGACATATTCATCATTTTGCTACTCAAATTTGTAGCATCTACATGTTTTTACATGTTTTATTTGCAGATAATTTTTTTAAAAAAATCAGTAAGAGATGATATTTCTCCCTTTTGAATAATTTATACCACTCATAAAAAGTAATTCTAATGAAGTGGCAGGTTTTTTGAATTCTAAGCTTAGCTGAAGTAAAGAACCTTACTGTGATTACAAAATCACAGGTTATCCAGATCATCCTGTTTTATGCAAACTAGTGTAAAGAAAAAGAGGATTTGTAATCTGGCACATCCTCTGATAAAAATGCATCACTGTCACTGGATTTGAGGACACTGTATTCTACACTTTAGGTGAAAACATCCGCTACTTTAACATTGTTGGAAAATACTGTCAGCAGTGAGCCCTATGCTGATCTGTCATGCATTCCATCCAAATTGCATGTTGTGCTGAGTGTTAGTTTCCTGGTTTAAGATAAACACCCCAGGTTCATCAGACTATTAGCTGAGAACATGTATTAGGTCAAGAAGATTTTATTTTTTTTTAACTCACTCATGTAAAGAGTATTTTTGTACAAAAGTCTTGCTGGGTAAAACATATGCAAAAAGAAAAAAATACGAAAAGCTAGCAGACATCAGTGAATCTAATCCCGAGCGTGTTTGTCAAATGGGAGAAATCAAGAATTCCAACCATCTAATCTAAAAAAAATTTTTACATAATTTTTAATGCATTATACAGGCCTTTTAGAGGTAGGTCTTAAATGAACTATGATAATATGATAGTTCATAAATCAGTTAACTGTGCAAAATGCTTCATTTTAGATAAATGGTTATTTTTAGGCACGAAGTAACTGTGGAAGGATTTTAACTAACACACTGCTCGTGAGCCTACTTAAGTTAAGGACTGCAACTAGAATTTGATCTTGTTCATACCTGTTATCACTCTTGGGTCTTGCTGCAGTCCAAGTTGTACAGCATGACTATGTAATAAGTAAAATAGCTTATCGGTGTGAGATGAGGACTTGCAAGCAAGGAGAGGGCATCAGAAGGAACTGACAGCTGGTGGACATGTTTTCTGCCATTGAACAAAACTTTTCAAGTCTGGAATCTCATCTTATCTAAAGTGCAGTCTGGTGTCTAACAGTTTCCTCGTTCTGTTGCAGAAGATGCTTCCCCACCTTTTCCCTGCATGCACAAATGCACACACATTCAGAAAACAGTTCTGAGAAAAAGAAAATGAAGCTTACATCACATGTAGTTTCTTGCTTACTTCAAGTATCTTTTACATGATGGGAAGACCTGGGTTATGTTTCTCAAATTAATTTGAGAAGACAAATATGGTTTTCCATTTCAGTATTTCTTACAGCAGCCTATGTTCACCATTCTGACTAACTCTAAACAACATTCATCAAAGTATTCTTTAGCTCTGTGTTCCTGAGGGAAGTAGATGTGAAATTCCCATTAACACAGGTGTGAGGGCAGTTAGCCTAATTCAAAGAACTTTAGCCCCTTGTTTGAAATGTTGTCTGAATTGACAGTATGTAGTTGAACTCCTAGTTTGTGTGCTGTCTTGTTACAGTAAGTATTGAACAATTTATAAGTGTTTTGTACAGAATAATTTCTCCCACTATAAATCATAGGACTTCGTAGTCAAATGTTGGTTTTAGTAATTTCCATATTTTAATGCAATTAGATTTATTTCACATAGAATAATGCAATATTATAATGTGCTTTCACTGATACTCTTAAAAACTGATTTCAGGTTTTTAGTATTAAAAATGTAATTTCTATACGAGTAATGCATACCTGCAGCCAAGAAAATTAGACCCTTACCAGTTATGTTAAGATTTATAGAGGCCTATAAATCTCCCTGCACTTTCAGGGTTGGTTGTGAGCTGCCATCTTTCCCTCTTTTTAAATAAAAAAGTCCCTATTCCTATTTCCAGCTTCCTCCTCTCTTTGTATCCCAAACACTATTTTACTGACTTTTCTGACTACTGAGGAAAAGTTTGTCTCAGATGTTCATAATGTTTCTCATACACTTATTATTCTGTCATTCAGACTTCTACATTTCTTTTTTTCTTATTATTGCTATTTAAATTTGTGTTGTACTTTTATCAAATCACTGCATGCTACCTGTTTTGTTCTGAGGGAGATGTCTCCTGTTTATTTTGTCTGTTCTCCTGTCTGTTTCAACTTAGATGCACTTACAATTGAATTTCACTTCCTTACTTGCTAAACTCTAAGCTCAGTAGTTCACTTAAACATCTGAAATTAAGGTTACTTAAAACCCCATCTCACTCAAAAGATTGCTCTATAAGATGCATAACTTTTCTGAGGCCTTTCACATAAGTGTCTGTTTCAGGCCAATTTGGTCTGAAATTCAGTCCAGACCTTTAATTAATTTCTAAGCATACAGCCAGGTGGCAGACATTTATTTTTTTTTTCCCAATGCTTTAAAGAATTCAGGTGATATACAGTAAAGCTTTATCATCTGACTGTCCTGGTAGGGTAGCTCTTTTAACAGAGATATTTTCCCCCCTGCCCCCCCCCTTACTGTTAAAATCCATCCAAATTTGGCTGGATTATAAAAACTTTTAAAATCACATTTTCTGTATGCTTATTGAGGGCTTGGTAGAGCTTAACAGCCAGAATCTCTGCAGATCCTATCCACCCTGGTTATCCCTGAGCCTCTTGGATCTTCTGTTAAAGAGCAAACTGCATCTGCTGTCCTCTCAGCCCTGCACAAGCCTCCCTGCAAGACTAGACTACCTGAAAGGAGGTTGTAGTGAGGTGGGGGTTGGTCTCTTCTCCCCGGTAACTAGTGATAGGACTAGAGGAAACGGTCTCAAGTTGCTCCAGGGGAGGTTCAGGCTGGACATTAGAAAGAACTTCTTCACGGTTAGAGTCGTTAAGCATTGGAATGGGCTCCCCAGGGAGGTGGTGGAGTCACCATCCCTGGAGGTGTGCAAAAAATGTTTAGATGTGGCGCTTCAAGACATGGTTTAGTGGGTTCAGCGGGCATGGTGGCATCGGGTATACGGTTGGACTTGATGATCTTTGAGGTCTCTTCCATACTTAATGATTCAATGATTCTATGATCATCCTTGTAGAGCATGTGGATCAGTTCCCACCTAAGCCATAGAAGTAGAGTCAGTTTTACCCTACATTTTTATGGGAGGAGAGCTTGGGACAAAAAGGAAGCCAAGACTTGGCAGCAGGCAATCACTGGTACTAGGAGATGAGGCAGCTGTTGGGAATAGCTGAAGAGCAGACTTGTCTGGAAGCTAAAATGAAGAGGGCAGTTACAGGCAGGCAATGGGAGGGTGATGGAAAATTTCTGTATCATTTTGTGCAGATGTACAACTGTGAGACAGCTTAAGCTTCCTGTTAAAGCTTCTCTTCCAAGATCTGCATATAGCAGCCTGAGTACTCTTCAGAGTATAAAGATTTCTTTTGATTCAAGCCAGCTGGCCCTGCAAAGAGCTTCATGCTCTAGCTCTTCCTGCCCCTCTCCTATACAAATGTACCACAATAGGAGGCGTGAGTTTTCACCCGTGTACAAGTTGAACTGTTATAGTTGCTGACGGTGATTAATGTATTCTACCTGACCTGAACTAGCCTTGGACACAGCCTTTTTCTTTTCTTCTTCTTTTTTTTTTTTTCTTTTTTAATGAGCTGGTTTGAGAGTCCTAAAATGGACTTGAGTGACTTTAAGGCTGATGTACATCATTCAAAAGCTTTTGCTCTTTGGCAGTCATGAGATTAGTAAACAATGTGCGTGTCTACTCAACTGCTTTGCCCTACAAGCAGGGCAGTCACCTGAACTTTTGTCATTGACTGTTAGACAAAATACATTGTTACTTAGTGACATTTTCAAGAATACTACTAGAAATTGCTTTCAAACTATTATCATACAATGTCAGTTGTGCACTTGCATCACATAGTAGATCATGCTTTTACATTCTAACATTTCCAGTATTACAAACATATTCTTCTTAAACTTAAATTCTCATATTATTTTCTTGGCATGTTTCCTATCCTGCTCTCCTGTGACCGACAATGTGAACTTGCTGAGGAACATGATACGAGAATTATGAGTATAGAAGTGTGGAGCTGCATGGAATGTATTTATTTTAGTTTAAAAAAATGCTATTTACAACAGAATCAAGAATCCTAGATCAGATGTCCAAACCAAAGCATATTTTATTGCCTTTGAGAGGAAGAACTGATGTGCTATATACTTTAATATTATACTGTTTTCAAAATGCTTCTAGAGTTCTTTGAATTGATGAGAATTTCAACAAGAGTAAAATGCAGCACTGGGAGACATGTTGAAAGGAGTTCTGTTGTATCTGATAGATATTAGCAGTCATGTAACTGTTAGATTTCTGGATGTATATAATTCCATTTCAGTTTATACTCTTGGCTACTGTTTATTGTAACAAACCTTAAGACTGCACCAATTTCTCCACATGATGGTAAATGACTGAAACAATTTTTCATTGATTGATGGCCTTTGTTTCAAATAAATGAAATTATTTAATTTTCTCTGTTCTAAAATGTTGACTTGTTAAACTGTGAGATATTACATGTTTCATTCTGTAAATGCCTAAATGAGTGCTTTTATAACAGCTTTTTATTACCTGCCTATTCAATATTACTAAAATGTATGTTATTCTGAATTCATTACATTTGCGTCAACCTCTAGTAGGTGAACATTCTTTAAAGGAGTAAGCAAAGTTGACAACAAATGCTATTTCATTAAAAGTAAAATTAAGTTTATAACAGTTGAATGTAATTGGCTTTGTGCCATGGATAGAAAACATGGTCTTTTAGAAAATTCAAAATCATTGCTTGCTAGAGAGGTGGTCAATGCCCCAAGCCTGGCAGTGTCTAAAAGGCATTTGAACAGTGCCCTTGATAACATGCTTTAACTTTTGGTCAGCCCTGAAGTGGTCAGGCAGTTGGACTGGATGATCACTGTAGGTCCTTTCCAACTGAAAATACTCTATTCTATTATCTAGTCTGATGACAACTGAAGTAAAAATTTGTTATAAAACTTTGGGATGTAGTTTAAAAAAAAATTAGTCTCCAAGTGACTAAATAAAATAAAGTACTTCTACATGCCAGTGCCTAGCAGAAGCAATTAGGATTTGAGAATTTACAAATTATTCTTTAACTACTATTTGACTACATATAAGAAATCCACAGTTCTTTATTCCAACTTGATGCATCTCCATTTGGGATATCTCAGAGGAAACAGATTCCTTCTCTTCAGCTGATTGGCATCATTGTGGTAGAAGGTGTGGGATAAGTTCTTGGGACAAGTTCTCATATTTTTTAAGAAAGCAAGCATACATTGATATTCAGTGCCAATTTCTTTTGTCACTTAGAAATTATATTGTATTTTATTAAATATTGCAGTTATATTTTTTTAAAAATATTTTTCCAATTAATGGGAGGGAAAACCAAGTAGAACACTAACAAGATAATCTTATAATTATGTTCTGTTTTTTTGGATAGCATGTATACACTTAATACTGCATTTATTCAAGCTTTTGTTGCACACTAGTACCATTTGGAGGTTTTGTGTGCCTAATTTAGCCCTGTTATACATAGCTGCTTTTTGCTCTTGCATTTAGCTCATAAGTTCACTAAGTGTTGTACATGTACTTCAATAGAGAAATGATTTGCTGTGTGAAAAATCAGTTTGTCTACCATTTTAAAGCTTTCTTATTAGTTTCATGCTTACTGAATATAGCCTGCATGCATTAAAAATTTGTAAAGAAAAGAAATGTTCCAGGACTGCATCATCTCTTTTAGCAGTTTATGTATAGGCCTCTAATTCACGTTTGTTTTATCAAATAAGAGCTTATTCTCAGTTAGTTCAGTTATTTTCTCTTTTAGCTAATTTGAGCAATACACATTTTCCACATACAGCGTCGATATTCAGTGTTTTGAATTTCTGTTTAACTACATTTTTATATTTGTTACAAACCATTCAGGACACTACTGTTGAAGGGACAACATGCAGTACACCTTCTATTGTTCTTCCAGAGAATGCTGTTACGCCAGATGTAGAAATTGATAAAAATCTGGTTAACAGGTACTATGTAATACATTACCAATCTATGCATAAATAGTACAGTAATTCCAGGAGCTGTGTTTCTAAAATATTGCTTTGAAATGTATATTGTATTAAAATATTATTGCTGTATTGTATTTGTAGCTTGATCATATTGTCTTTGCATTTTGATGATGATTTTTTGAAGGCAAGGAAGTGGGGGGGGGGCAGGAATATAATTGATACTAAAAGACTAGTTTCGTAGAAAACCTGACACAGTATACTTTAAATTTACATGAACTTTCTTATCTTTCAGAATAGCATAATTTGAAACTAAAGCAAAAACGTAAATTAAAGTTTTGCATGATTTGGACTGAAAGCTGTAACATTTGAAGTCCGTCCTTTTGCTAGCAAATAAAATATGGCAATGCGAGGAAAATATTGCTTGTTCAAATCCTTTTGTGGGTATATAATGGTGCATGTGTGTGTGCTACAATCCTATACCTACTACAAGAATGACTGACAGTTGAATTCTGTGCATGGAAATGCGCAATACTGTCCTTCTGTCAAAATTTTAACCTTTACTTAGACCCAGTCAATGAGCAACTGGGACCAAAAAAAGTACAGTTGATTATTTTTGTGTTTCCTGAATTATTTCCCGCCATGGAAGTTTTTCAATTCAGTAGTTAAATCCCTAATTTTGGTCTACTAACTATACATGTACAGCAGTAGTACTGCCTTTAATCATATAAATATTTCCACTGAACCAATAAGAACTTTGTAGATTACTGTAGAGTTAGGAAATTAATCCTTGTAAGACTTTAAAAATTGCTGTTTTTTAAATGCAAAAGATGTAAGTTCCTCAAGGTATGCTCAGCCATCAGCGTTGACTCTCGCAATTGAGTGTATCTTATGTACAAAACTCGTGTTGTCTGCTCCCTTCTTGAACTAAAGAATTAGCTATATTACCATCTTATTACACTATTCTTAGTACCATGCTGAAAAATAGACATTGTAGCAATAATATTTTCAATCTGTTGTAATTGTTTTGCCTATTGAAAGGAAAATGCAGCAACCAGCTATGTTGTTCTTACAAACAATCTGTTTGCATGATCCTTAAATTACTAAAGTGTGTTCTAATGAAGGAAAGTTTTTGTCAAAAGATGGACAATGAATGACAGTTTGTATAATAAGGCTTATTTGTGAAGGCAGAAAATTTCCAAGGAAGGCCTATGATCATAAAAATACTTTGCGATTTTTAGTAATACCTTTGCAAGTATTTTACTTATTTTTTATGTGTACAATTTTATAGTTTTATGAACTGCTGAAAATGCTTCTTATGTTCTTTTGACAGGTTTAGCATATGACATATATCTTTCAGAATAAATCTACCTTCCAATCTGGTGCATATTATCTTGGTCTTCACTTAAAACACTTACTGTTCTATATAACTTAAGGTGATGCTGGTGAAGCTACTGTTATTGTATATGGTTTCTTTCCTTACAAAAAATTGTTGGTAGTCTGGCATTGCTGGCTAATTTTGTTTCATAGGATAATATTCTGAAATATTAAAATATCATTATATTATTAGCCAGCATCTTTAAAACTTTATTCTAAAGCTAATTAAGATATGCTCAGTTCATTTAAAGTCCTCAGTTGAAAACATTGGAAATTGAGTTACTGGACTTTTTTTTTTCCTATCTAAAAAGCAGATGCAACAAGTGTAGGCTTCTTTTCCATCTCTCTTCTTTCCCTTCCTCCCTTGTATCTGTTCAACCCTCCTTACTGTTTTGGTGAAGCTACAAAACAAACTTCTGTAGCAGCTGGAAGCTGGGATAGGACCATGTTTCTGATCTTGTGAAATAAAATAAGTATCAGTTGAAAATTCAGGTAGATAATGTTTCTAAGCTAGACAGATGGAAGAACTTAAATGTCTAGCTTGAATACTGTAGTTTACAGTGAGTTTTGAAGCAGATATCTGGGCCCATTCAGATAGACGGGGCAAGAATACCACCTTGAGGTTAATCATATATGAAAGTAAGCTGTTGGATGGAAATAATAATCCTGTTTGAAGTTGAAAACTTCAATTAAATTTTGAATTGAATTAAGGTTCTTTTCAGTCTTCTGATAAAGCATGCTTCTTGACCTGGGATTTTTAGTTTATTGGCCTACCATTAGACTTAAAATACGGGAAAGAACTAATCAGGAAGTATTGATCATAAATCTATGCTATAATTTGCTTGTATTTTTAAAGCATACTTCTACAAACTCGAAGATTATTTAAGTCAGAATTATAATGTAGCCCTCTGAAAGCAGCATTATTTGCTGGATCAGTATTTAATTCTCTGCAGTCACTTGAGACTTTTGCCTGGTTTTCAATCTAGAATATTACCGTATTGCTATATGGGATTATCAATGTGGGAGCCTAAGAAATTATTTCAATCATAAAACTTAGTTTAGGAAGCACTAACAATTTACAAAGTCTAAATTTTATTTTTGCAATGTACCATATTTATATGAGTTTTAAGTCATGATAATGAACTAAATAAATGTTTTTCTGAGAAATCAAAAGTTCACAGTATACAAGGTTATCAGCAAATGTCAGAACTCCTTTGTGAGAGCAATTTCTGTAATTTTATTTCTTTCTGCAATCTTCCTCCATTTTCTAGTTCTTTGGAGATAAGAGGAATTGCAATAAAACCTTTTTGCTTTCAATTTTTTTAATCAAAGTGCTTTCTTTTTAATGTTAAATTTTATAGAGAAATAGAAATATTATTTTTTTGGTGGCATAGTCCCATAATTTTTGTTTGTTCGTTTTTCTCTCTAGGCCCCGTAGTCCTCATAGAAGACATTCTAACCGTGCCACTAGGAATCCAACAAATTCATTGACTTCTGTTGGTAAGAAGTGATTATTCATTTAAGCTGTTTTCTCAGAAAATGTGACATGCAATAAAGACCTAAATATAGAATTTGACTATATTGACTACAGCTTTGCATACTGTCCGTAATGCATGCCCAGGGAATACTGCTGGCATGTTAAATTTGTGATCATGAGTTTATGATCGTAAGTGGATTGCATGCAGACCAACCCAGGGAAATATGCATATTGTTAGTTTCACAAAGTTATTAGATTAGTGTGCTAGCTTAACATTTTTAGAAGGCTAGAGATATACATGCTTAAAATTCTTGTTGTATGCAAAATACTGTTCAGTAATACTGGTTTTGTTACTATTGGACAACTGGAATTTTTTTAGCTAGGAGCTTAACAGACACTTAAGTCTCAAGCTATTTAGTTTGGCTATCATGTCAGATTAAACCTTAAATGAAAACAAGCTATCCAGGGGAAGATTTTCTTCATTTCTTCACTTGCTAATGGGTCTCTTACTACATAACTAGTTCTATTAGTTTCCAGTAGCTGCCTGTGGAGTAAATTGTTATCCAAGGGGTCTAATGGTGCGGGTGGATTTGTGAGTACTACAAACTGAGATAAATGCTCATCCTCTTAAGTCAATGGCAAAGCTCCCATCAGTTCTTATTCTTGGTATGTTTGCATTACTTGTCTCCATTTATGTATTTCCTGTAAATTAAAAGTTGAACAAAGTTGATAGACTGTTTATACTATCTCATATAAAGGATGAAGGAATAAGCATATGAGACCTCCTACCAAAAGGGGGAGGGATCAGAATTTAGAATAAATTTTTCAAACTATTTTTATTTTTACAACAATGTTAACTTTCTCCCAGCCATTAACTTAATTTAAGCCAATTATCACTGCTTTATGCTTTACATGAAAACAGTTTTCTGTAAAATTGTGGACTTGTGTGATCTTTGCATACCTTAAAAAAAAAAAAAAATACTGGTTTTGTGACAGACTTAAAACCAAGCTTATCAGGTGACTATTCCAATACTCCCAGAGGCTTTTAGAGGGAAGCACCTTTTCTGTTATCACTAAGGAACCTAGTTCTTAGGCATCTTGAAACAGATGCATCTGTATCTTTTTTTCTTTACTAAAACACCAGCAAACATCAGAGCCCTGCTACCTCTCTCATACTCAAAATATTCAGAATAAAATTCTGGTTTATGAACTCAGACTGCTTTTAGTAATTGAGATGCTGTTAAGGACTCTGGTTAATAAGTCCTTTTTACGTATTTTTATTAAGAAACTCAGATGTGTAGAGTTTTTCTTGATCAATATATTGGACATAGGCATGGGAGTTTATGAAGCATTTCTGAATTTTCAATAGCAAAGGGATTCCTGGCAGTCTTAGCAAATATTTCTTACAAGAAACACTGATCTGCTGATGATAGCAGATCATCCATCCCTAGGGTTGAAAAATGGCTACGGCTAAGGCTACTTTCCCTAAATTATAGGTATATTTCTACTTTCTCTTATATAGGAGGTATTGCATGAAGCGAAAAATCAATTGGTACCTCTGAAAGTAACCCAAACTCTCTCTGCTATTAACAGTGTATACACCTTGTGTTTTTTTCTTTCCCATGGTCAAAACAGAGAGACCAGAACCCTTTCCAGCAGAATTTAATGTCTTATTGCACATTTCATTTCCATTTTTGTGAGTTTATAAGGGTTAGTTTGCTGGAATTGATTTGATATTTGTGTCATGATGAAAAATACAGTAATAATTTTATACACCTGGGATCCTGGGCAGTTTCACACAAATAGAGAATTGGAGATTTTTAAATCTAGCATAACATCCTTAACCCTGCCTTTTTCTTAATAAGATAATAAAATGTATTATGTAGGCAGTATTTCCCCTGTTGTACTAGAGTTAGCTTCTCAGCCGTGCAGACAGAGGGTGCTAACTATTCATATCAATAAGTCAGAATTAATCCTTGCTAGTTTGTGATTCTGATGCTTTTGTAACTGGGTACTCAGTTGCATCAGTATGTCTATAAAAATGTAGTTGAGAGAAAGCCCACTGAAAGATTGTTAGGAGACTTCTCATGCATTTGCTCCAGTTTTGTGATTGGTCCTTTAAATTGGTGAGTAAAGTATGGGTTTTGGCTGCTTGCATTGAAAGGGAAACTTCCTTTATATGTCCTATAAAACTAAGATGGAGATAAGATCCATGTAAATCAGATCTGATCCACTTAAAGCAACTTGGAACACTTAAAATCTATTCCTGCTTGCCAGCAGTTGATTTTAGAGGTAATTAAACTTGTGGAAGCTGAATAAATTCATGGAACTAGACTTACAGAAATCAGACTTATACAGAAGAATGATTATCTCTCCATGCTTAGAGATGCAGCAGCAAAAGCTACTCTGCACTGCCTCCCCCCCCAAATTTGGCGTCCAAATTAGGACTTTACAATCTGGATGCATGGACAACTGGACAGGTAAAATATTGGTTGGATAGTTGGGCTCTGAGGGTAGTGACTGCTTCGTTGGTCATATGCTCCCTAGATGTTAGCAAAAGGAGAGTGTTCTCTGAAAGAAACAAACTTTTCCAGATGTCATTCTGCTGAAGACAGAGCTTTGCTTCAAGCCTGCTTTCTGTTTCAGCTGCTGTGGCATTCTAAGTTAGGTATTTTCTAATTAAACCTGTTACAAAATGTCTCCTCTTGGAGGTCTGACTTGCCTGTAAGAAATGTATCTTCGTGGACATGTACAAAATCATAAACTTATAGACATGAAATAATCAACAAGTGATTCTTTGAACACTTGCTCTTTGTAAGCAGGTGCTGAGATGTGGTGCAGCAGGAGAAACTAAAGGGAATGAGGAAAACTAATGGGAAAAGAGGAAATGGCAGCAAAGGGGAAGGAAATGAGAGTAGTAAAGAGGCAGAAGGCAAAGCAAATACAAAAAGGCAAAGATATTGACTATAGTGAGGAAAACTTACCTGTTCAAGGAAGATGGAAATTACTATGCCTTGTAGCTCTCCTCTTTTGCTGGCCCAAGAAAAATGCCATGGGAGGTCCTTCTCTCAGACTTTCAACACACAAATTTTAGTGCAAAACAAAACAGGTATTTCATTAAAAATAGATTGCTTTAAGAATGTCTAATCTGTGGGCATGCTTTTTGACAGCCTTTAAATTGAAGTAAATTTATGGAAATTAAAAACAAAACAAATACCACCACGTCCTCAAAAAAAGAAAAAACCCAAACAACCAACCCCACACCCACAAACTGAACACTCTTGAGTTTTTGTTGCTTGCTTATGTCCTTAGCTTTTCTGAAGATGGATTGTTCAGTAATGGCTTTTGTCAAATTTAAAAATATTTTTCTCTTATTACCTGATGACTTCCCTCCTCCTCACCCAAGCTGTTCTTTAGTAAGTTGTTCTTATTGCAAAACAGTTATAAATTCCCTCTTCTCTAATAGAGGCATCAACATGGGGAGAGAGAAAATCACAGCTGATATTCCTTAGAACACATTTTATTCACTAAGCTGTTGTTAATGTGATCAAGTTGTTATTAACACTAGGTAACTCCTCACACAACATAGTCACTTATTCACTCATATAGTTAGTTCACTCACACAGTCGCAAATTTTCTCACAGTTACCTGAGAATAAATGTCTCACTTGCAGTCTGTTGTTGATGCTAGTGTGTGCCAGTGGCCTTGCAGAGATTGAGCAGACTCTCCGTGATCTATTTATCAGTTGTTGCAGATCCAACAAGCTTACTAGTCTGTAGAGTTTATCAACCCATGAAAAACTTGCACACACTACCTTGTCAGCATATGTTTCCTTTCTTTGGTCTGTTGTTTTCAGGTAACTGTTTCTCTGTACAAGCCTAGGTGCTTCTAGAAGCTGTTCACACCAACTCACACAGAAAGGGCCTTTCCAACAGCAGCCTGCATTCTTTGCTTAATCATAGCCTGGAGAATTGTAAAAATTAGTGCTCAAAGTTTAGTGCTTTTGACCAATTTGGAAGCCAGGGATTAATTTCTACAACTAATTAGAAATCATTTAGAAAACAATGCACGAAAGTCTAAGTGTAGGACAGTGGCTTTCAGTTTGTGGTCCATGCATTCTCCTGGATCACATATATAACATATCCACATAAGTGGGCATGAGGAAAGGCAATCTCTAGCAATGCCTTCTTTAACCATTGGATATTCTAAGGGGATTTGCAGTTCCTTTGGAAAATTCTTGCAGATCCACCACATGGTAGAGATTGATTTGCTTTTTGAAATAGCTTCATAATTCTCAGGCTTTAGCTATTCAAGTACTTCTGCCTGCAGCTTTGCCAGATGCAGCTTTACTGTCGCTTCTGCATTTGTGGGAAAAGCTCTTCTATCTGCACAGAATAAAATCTTTATACTTCCAGACTCTGCACCTTATTGTATAGATTATTTGATGGAATCACCTGAATCTTAAAACTAGTGTGCATAAATGTGGTTTAACCCCAGCTGGCAGTTAAGCACCACGCAGCCACTCGCTCACTCCCCCCTGGTGGGATGGGGGAGAGAATCAGAAGGGTAAAAGTGAGAAAACTCATGGATTGAGATAAAGACAGTTTAATAGGTAAAGTAAAAGCCACACACGCAAGCAAAGCAAAACAAGGAATTCATTCACCACTTCCCATTGGCAAGCAGGTGTTCAGCCATCCCCAGGAAAGCAGGGCTCCATCATGCATAATGGTTACTTGGGAAGGCAAAATGCCATCACTCTGAACGTACCCCCTTCCTTTATAAGCTGAGGATGACATCATATGGTATGGGATATCCCTTGGACAGCTGACCCCAGCTGTGTCCCCTCCCAACTTCTTGTGCACCCCCAGCCTCCTCGCTGGTGGGGTGGGGTGAGGAGCAGAAGAGGCCTTGACTCGGTGTAAGCCCTGCTCAGGGGTAACTGAAACATCCCTGCGTTAGCAGCACTGATTTTGGCACAAATCCAAAACACAGTCCCATACTAGCTACTACAAAGAAAATTAACTCTATCCCAGCCAAAACCAACACAATAAATCTTTGCCAGGTGAGTTTGTGGGACCTTAGCCTTGAAAAACTGGACATACAAAATCCATGGAAAAACTAAGTCTATGACAGGCATGCCATGACTGTTAGTTGAGATGGATCTAATGCCACTTTTACTGATAAATTAGAAAAACTATACTGGGGAAACAACCAGAAAAGCCAGTTTTACATGTCAGAGCATCTTTGATCATAGTGACTTAATCTTAGTGGTTTATCTGTGTTTTTGAGGACTTGCTCTAAACTTGAGAATATAACAACATTAGAAAGGAGCAGATATGAATGTGTGCTAAATGCAAGCTCAAAGCTAAATTTATAGATATGTTTTGTACTTGTTATTCTGGAATGCCAGAACCTATCTGGAAAAATGAGATACAACTCCAATTCTGATGTTTTCTACCCAGACAACAGCGGTCATGTGATTGATCTGGTAAATGATCAGCTACCAGATGTCAAAATATCAGAGGAAGACAAAAAGAAGAACCTTGAATTACTAGAAGAAGCAAAGAAAGTAAGCGAGAGGTTTCTAATGCGCAGAGGTAGAAAGTCAAGAAGCAGCCTTCCGGAGTCACCTACAGGTAGATGCAGATTCTGAAAACAAGATTTTATGTTCTGCTTCAAAGATATGCAAAGGCACAAACAAGCATCTACTGTAATGCATACATTGCTACTGTATACATACCCTTTGATAATTTGAAGGTCAGAATCCCTCTGCCCCTCCTCACAGTTCCACGTAAAACAGAAATGACCAATCGCTACATTCAGATGTAACAGTGGAAGATGGTGTAAAGTTTTTAAGTGCCTGAATGACACACTGCAAACACTGTAACAGAAAAGCATGAAGTATTTCTGTTGGAATCTAAAAAATGGTCACAAATTTCTGTTTGTGAAAATTTCCTATTGTACATAAAATGAAATTTTAATGGCAAGATTCATACTGCTGAAAAAATTTCCCCCAGACATAATTAACACAAACTTTTGTTCTGAACATAGTCATAAACAGCTAAATGGACCAGATCCTCCTTTAAAAACAGCAGAATAAAATGTTTTGTTCTAGAATGTCAGTTGAAATTATTTTTCCCCTCATATGAAGTATTTGAAAACTAGGACAATATGGTATTTTATCAAGAAGTAGGACTTTAATTTAGCTTTGAAATGCCAATTCAAAACAAAGTACTATCTTAAAATTGGCTTGACACTTTCTGGAGAAAAAAATCAACTACTTTCTAAAATTAAATTTTCCTTTTTTTTTTTTTTTCCCTAAATTCCTTGTGAATCCTTCTCTTGTGTCTACCTCTATGCAGTGCTTATGGTATCAGAAAACTGAGGAGAATCACAATTCTGTGTATCAACAGGATTGTATTGGGTTATGGCAGGTACATGAGATAAAACCTGCTCTAAGTTCCTCATTGCCGAGTACAACTTGGCAATTAAAATGACTTGTCAGGTTCTGGACAAACATATGACTGATGACTATGAGATTCATGTTTTAATCTTACCTGAATTTTAAAAATTCAGAACTTCAAACGTAGAAAGTAAAATTACCTTTTTTTTGTTTTTGTCTTTGTTTTAATGAAGCGGTTTCCCCTACACTTAGTCCTAAAGTTTCACCAGTAGCATCTCGGAGCAACTCTCTCACTTTTCCAGTTCCATCAGGTAAAATGATCTATGCAGGCTCAAACTTTAACTTATAAAAGCTCACAAAAAATGTATTTTTTAGTATCTCTTGAGGAGAAGTAAAAATCTGTAGGTTCAAGCATCTCTTCCTGAATATGACAAAGCTCATAAATGCCCACAGTATATGTTTTACATATATTTTTTTGTATTATATTTTTATTCCTGTGGTGGTGCTAAACATGTTCTATTTCTTTATTCTTTTCAATAATGGATTTTTGAGAAGCTTTAATGATCTTTCACTTACTATATTTTAGATAATTTTTTTCCCCTTTTAAATAGTATTTTCCACATTTAAATTTTATCCTTAATATATTATGTGGAACTGTGCATGTCTGTGTTTGCTAATGCTCTAGTAGTAAAAATTTTTAGCAAAACATCAGGATATACCCTAATTATGTGTGTGTCTGTCTAGGGTCTGATGTATGCACAACCACTAGTGTCGAGTCAGTATCTCCAGGACAGGTAAGAAAGAGCTGAATAGTCTGCACAGTAACCTGGTTATTACAGTACTGTATTACAGTATTAGTCCTATTAGTCCCTGAGGAAAACTGAATGTTTTGAATACCATTTCATATGCCAAGATTGGATTACAGATATGTTTTTTCTGCAGAGTGAGGGACTAATAAATGTTACTTCTGAAGACAAAAATCCATGAGGTAACAAGTGCTGAAGAATCACAGAGATTTGTTAAGTGTAGAAAATGGAAAAAGATCCAATATAATCCTAATCGATGGAAAAACTAATTCCTAAAACTACTTCATAAATAAATGTGACAAGCGGTGTAAAAATTAAGAGTTTCAAAGTTCATCCATTAATATATGTATCTAACACTTGCAGCATAGATGTGAAAAATAACCTTGTAAGGGAACTTTTTTCATCCTTTCTTTTGCTAGAATAACAGAACTGTGAAAGAGGATGATAGACAAACTGCAGAGGTAAGTGTTTCACATTGTGTTAAACAAAATCTGCCTGTTTGTCTTGGCACACATATGACTCTCATTTATGTGACTAAAAAGGCTAAAAGAGTGTTCACTGAGTGAAATGAAAATATGATACTGCTCTAAGAAATTGTGAAGCACCTGCAAATGGTAGTGGAGGACAATGGGCTACAGCTAGCCTTTACCTCCTATCATGCACGTTGCTCTACCTCAATTAAAATCAATACACTAAATAACTTTATAAAAATACCTACTATAGCCACGTTGGTGTATACTGGTGTTTTAGACAGACATCGTCTTCCAGACCCCTTTGGTTCAGTGCAATAGGTTACTGTACCTCGTGTTCTGCACCGCCAATGGGATGTCACTGCTCCCCACAACTATTGGTGGAGCAGCTTATATGAATGCTTCCCAGTTTGTTCTAGGTAACATGAGATGGCCTTTTAAAGAGATTTTTCTGTGAGTGGATTAGGCAATGCTTACAAAACCCAGTATGGCAGCAGAATTTCGGAGCAGTAACTACAAAGGAGAAGAGTAGCAACATATCTAAGGCAGAGCCCACAGTTAGACTGTGTGTTTGTTGCCTTAAATTGCTGACACAGGTGCCTTAGACAAAATACATATTCTGTACCAAAGTAGCCAAGTTATAGGCACACATTCTTTTGCCAGTTCTCATGTAGAGATTGCAGCCAAATTATAAACTATGGTAATGCACACAAGGGAAGAAGAGAGAAATTACAAAATGTGCTTTAACTTTGTGTACAAGCCCATAGTTTTTTCCCCTGGGAGGTGAGAGACTAGCAGAAAACAATCAAAGAAAAGTAACAGTTCTATAAGATACAGGGTTAAAGGCATGTACTCAGACAAACCTTACATTAAAATGATGAGAAACTTGGCTATATAAGGATTGCTTAATGGACTCTGGAATGGGAGGAAGTTATCTCAAAATTTTGGAGAAGAGATTTCCAATTCAGTGTTCTTTCAGGTGCCTTTTAAAAATTATTTCTCTCTTCAACAGCACATGTTTAAAAGCAAATGTCACTGAAAAGGAAATGGCTTTTTACAGTGAAAATCCATCTTCAGGCAGGGGAAAAGAGAAATCTGCATTTGTTTCTCTGTTTTATGAATGGTCCTTTACTTTCAGAATGCTGCAAAAGGATTAATTGATCGAAGGCAGAATGATCAAAGAAAGATTTCTCAGGGAAGGTTGGTTCCTCGTTCTGCTGGTTTTGAAAACTCCAAAGAGAAGCTTTCAGAACAAAAAGAAAACTTTGATCCATGTAAACATATAGATACTTTACCTAAATCCTCCCCTTCAGGTAGTGATGGTGGCAGAATGTCTCTTAACACTTGCGTGAATGTTTGTGAAAGTGAACTTGGAAAATCATTCCTCAAGAAAGCAAAAGAAAATGATGTTCCTTTAAGAACCTGTCTACCTGGACCAGGGATAGGAAATATAGACTCAAAGCTAAAAATTCCTGTTCCAGAAATGAGGGACAATAAAGTTTCATGTAAACCAGAATTTAAACTGTGTGGACTGCGTCCTCCTCTACTACGGGCTGTATCATGGGATAGCTTGGAGCCTGGACAGAAAGATAAAACACCTTTAAAATTACCGTCTGAGGAAGATAAAAGCTTTGCTGTTGGTAATAAATCCAGCAATCAATTAAAAGCATTCAAAGACCTTCAAATCCAAGTTCAACCAGTTCGAATGCAGAAATTGACAAAGCTGAGAGAGGTGAGTCCTATTCATCAGTTGTATCCTGTTTTAAAGTTATTTTCATATCTTATCAAAGCTTCAACTTGCTTAGCATTATTTTTATCATTGCAAGAAACATATGGTAATATAATGGGAAACAGTTTCAGCAAAATCAATAGAGAGTTGTATTGTGGTTTTCCTTTGCAACTTTAATAAATTGTAACCTCTAATGAAATTCCATGGAATTATTCTATTTCTTAGTTCTCTTGAAATACGCATCAACTGCATTGTAGTATCTTCAACATGCATATATGCATGTGCATATGCTCTTGCACATGCAGGTTTTGGCCCCAGAAAAAAAGTAGTATAACAGTGTCACGAAAGTACTAATTGCTTTCATTGTGACAGAAAGGTGAGTCTAAACCACAGTATATATCGTTTTTGCATCATTTACACGACCTATAAAGAGGAAGCAGTTGATTAACAAGCATGTCATTTGTAAAACTAGCCCCAAATACGTTTTACCTATTTTTTCACTAAAGTGGCCTTCTAAGGAGAATTTTAGATCCGAAGAATCTTTCCTTCCTCAGGATGTAACAACATTCTCTTTAAAAGGGTCACTTATGCTCTTTTACTTCCTTTGCTTCCCTGTGATATGCTTTTTCTTCTCCTTTGGAATTGTCCTTGGATCCATAGGCTCTCACAATATATTAACTAATGATGGATTTCTGTATGAGTGGGATAAGACCTGTGTATAAACAGAAACCTTCAACTGAAGTTTGGAGGTGGTTAGTATACTCTTTTTTAAGGGCTTACAAGCCTCTGTGTATCATATACTATTTGTAAACTTTCTTTTAGATTTAAAAATCACTTTTACTTTGTTCAGCTGAGTGTTTTTGAGTCCTGTATTGGTTGGTGTTCTCCCTTCTAAGGGCAGTAGTCCTGTCATCCAATAACATTACATTTGCAAGATTTCAGGGGACAGGAAATTGTTTTGGTATGATTTTTTGCTATTGAACATTGTCAGAAAATGTCTCAAAGTGTCCAGAACTTTAAAACTCCATGTCTCTGAGAGCAAGGGCAGGTCGAGGATGGCCAGGCTTGCAGTTCCTAATTCTAACATGGTGCAAATGTGTCAGCTTCTTGAAGGATAGGCTTGGACTGTGAAATCTATAAACTAATCTGTTGTTATATAATTGTCTAAATGATTGGTAAAAATTAAAGAATTAAAAAATCATGTAATCGGTAAAATTGGTAAAAATTAAGAATTAAACCCTAAGAATTCACCAGTGTATTGAAAAAAGTAGAAATGCCATGAAAAAATAAACCACTATCATAAAGCAACTACCATGTGTGTATAGCAAAAATGAGCTTAGAAAAAAAAATAGTAGTAATTACTCTCCTTAACAGCCTAATAAGAGTATTTTCTTTGACCTCCAGTAGTTAATATTTTAAGATGAACACAGGGCTGACAGGTGAGGACCTCAAATTCTGGTCTTTGGTTAATTCATTCCCATTGTATTGCTTGGGAATGGCAGCTTAGTTATTAATCTTTTCCTGTTTATGTAATACACATATTCTTAGCATATGCATACTGTAAGTTCTGATTATAGAGACACTTGAGCAATATAATTTTGAAAGTCCTAGAAATTGTTAAGCTCAAATAGTAGTTAGAATCAGAAAATTAATACAGCACCATATATAATTCCAGTTAGGTGAGATTTGAACTCTGTCTCCAGTAGGAATTGTCTACTGGTAAACAAAGGAGGTGTTTGTGAATTTTAAACATATTTGAGAATATGAAAGTAGAAAATGAGGAGATGATAGAAGGAGAAAAAAGATTACAAGGTTTAATCCTTGAGAGTACATTTTTTCCTACCTGTAAGGAATAAAGGCAGAGTACAGTAACAATGAAGTATTAACTTGCAGCTGTAGCATACCAAGCTTTGGTGTGAATAAATTCTACTGAATAAGTCAATATAGCAAAGTCTGATATATCTGATTTTCTGAATTTTCTCTCCTTTCTGGGATACTTACTTATTACTATGGCTATATACAAAATTGCTTTTTTTGCTCTCATTTAACAAAACTCTCATTTAACAAAACTCCTTTTTTCTACTTCAGTAAGGGGCACATGTTGCAAATCTCTGTTTGCATAACCAGGAATTTTTCTAAATAATGCATGTATGAAATTTGAAATATGTAATATTTAAGAGTGTGTGTGTGTGAATGAACATATATCCATGCAATGTAGCCTCTGACTATAGCTTAATATATATATATTTGTTATGTTTATTAACTAAAGTAAATGTTACATTTAGTGTTCACATGGCAGGGATATTTAAATTGAGATTTCTAGTTAAGTTACTTAGAAATGTTACTGTTTTTCTTAACAGGAGCATATTTTGATGAGAAATCAAAATTTAGTTGGACTTAAACTTCCTGAACTTAGTGAAGCAGCTGAACAGGAAAAAGGTGCAGTACCATAAAAGTTGGAAGGGGTGTTTGTTTGTTATACACTGATTTCTATAAATGACTAATATGGAGGGGAAAAAAAACCTTTTTCTTCAATTGCAATAGTAGTTGTAATGAAGCAGTTATGGAGGAGGGCAGTAAATGATGAACAAGAGAGACCAATAATGGAAATACCTGAATTTCTTGATCATCTGAGACGAGAAGATACTGTAGGTATTATAACAATGAAATGAAAAGACGCATACCTGAAACAATGTCTAGCTCGTACTTAATAGATGGAGGACTGTCTCAAGTTTCAGTCACTTTCTGAAAAGAAGTTTCAGCAGTGATATATTGAATGGATGTGACCTCTGCAAGATATTGTGGCCATAAGGGTGAATTTGATCCTTGAAAGTATAAATAAGAGATGGAATGCTTTGTTCCTGCTTTTTTATTTTAGTATATGCGTGGCAAATATTGAAATAGCATGTTCACTTCTGGTCCACAGCTGTATGTCAATGTGGATAGGCAAGAGTAAGACCAGAGAAGAGACATAAATGTGATTGAAGGATTGGAAGAATGTGATTTGCAATAAGTGTGGGGGTTTTTTAGCTCAATTTGTATGATTTTTAATAAGGAAAAGGCTTAAAACACTACATAAATGAAATGAAAAAACATAAATCTGGCACCAAATGTTTTTTCCAATCTAACACAAGCAAATGAGATTTGATGCTTGTAGACTGCTTCTAAAAAGATTCAGAATAGAAACAAAGAGCAAAGATACAATCCTGAGGACAATTCAGCAACTGGAAGAACTAAATAGCAGTAGTGCTGAGTGATCACTTGAAAATATTTAAACCAAAACTATATATGTGTTTGGAACTAGTCAAGTCAGAACTTGTTCAAAGTGTTTTTAAGGCCACATTAACTGAAATGGAGATTGTTAATATGAAAGGAGCTGAACCTAATTGTCCAAGATTTGATCCAAAGACAATTCCCTTTTTTTGTAATACTGTTCATTTTGCTAATTCATAGATTTGCTTTGGGACTGTTTCATGAGGCCTTTGAGTTTCTGTTACACAGAGAGATGACTGAGATATTGCATTTCATGTTATCTCTAGAAACAGACTCATCTTCAGTCTGAATGAAACAAGATTAAAAGAGACTTCTTGTCCTTTTTTCTGTATTTAGTGACTATATCTTTGGATTCTTAGATATGGTAATATTATTCCTGTCACTCTGCTAATACGTATTTTCCCAGAAATTATTTAGCAGGCTTTGTTAGAAAGTGTAAAGTAGTTGCCATTTTACCAGCCTGTTACATAATTTTGGCAGATTTGAAACTTTTGAGGAAAACATTATGAAAAGCTAAGCATTATTTCATCCAGCTTTTCAACCAAGATCTCATGAGCATCGTGAGCTTTTTAAAGTCTAGTAACTTATCTAAATGATAGCCAGAACATTAAGTGTCAACTCCTTATCATCAGAGGGGAAAACAAGTGAGGGGTCAAATCCTTAGTTCATTTGTTAGGGAGACTTAATTCCTTACATTGTCATAAAAGCTACCTTCTGCTTTTTAACTGGAGTAGTAATTTTACTTAAACAATAGGAAATAGCCAGCTACTTCATAATTACTGTTATGAATCAAATATACTGGCTCCATCATGTTTTACTATCAATGCCAAGTTATTGTCATCATCTGAGTAAACACAATTTTGCATCTACAGAAGTTTAGATAAGTGGGATATAATAGATCTGGAGACATTGTGGTGTCAGGCTGGCTTTTTATGGGAACACACATGACTGTTCCTAAGTCAATACTGGAATTTTTAAATATAAAGGAAATGTACAGAACTAAAATGTAGCTAGAAAGAATCTCCCATTCTTTTCCATCTTTCATGTTAACCTCTCTACATTTACAAAATTTAGAGTTTTTTCACACTGTTTGTTTTGCAAGTTGAAGAATCTTTCTGTTACACCAAATGAGCAGGAGAGCTGTACAAAGATATCTTCCCAAGTCTGATATTCAGACTGAGTTCTTCATTAAATTCTGGAACGGTAGAAGGAGATAAGGGAATTGTTATAAATGAAATTAAATAAAATGAAAATAAAAAAGTTAAGTAATGTGATTTTTTTTAAAAAGAAGTTTGAGCCATATCTGGCTCTGAGATGCTGACTATTAATAGTTAATGCATGACTTTTCAAATAACATAAAAAGTTTTTTATCTGAAAATGTCTTTAGGCCCTTCACCTCTCCCTTCCCCGACTGAAGAGGAAGAGACAAAGAATAGCTCTGATGTCATGCCCAGCATTCCTGATATATTGCTGCGAAAACTACGAGTGCACAAATCGCTTCCAGGAAGGTAAAAGCTCATTAGAAGTAGAAAGACATCATCCGGGGGAAGGCACACTAATGGTTTGCAGTGAACTCCCTCTATGGACTTCCATTCATAGCGGATCCATATAAGTAGAGAAATTGCTGCATCTTAAAATGTGCAACACAGATTTTCTGAAAAATTTTGGGGAGTACACTAACTTCCAGTAACTGGGCAACTTGTTTTAAAATTAGCTTGCAAGTTCTACATAAAAAGTCTGAAACCTAACTTGCATGCTATGAGTAAATTTTTATAGAGATTTTTCCACCAGTCTGTCCACTCCTGGTTTTCAGGATTGCTGCTGCAGATATAAATTCTTGTTGAAAATGAAAATGTTAGTGTTTCTTTCCCCCAGAAAAATAATCAGGCCAGATAATGCTTTCCAATGGTAAAATTTGGGCATGTAAGAATTCTGCAGTTTTTCTGCAGGTGACGATTTTTCAGGCAAATAGAGTTCATTTTGCAAATGTAGTTGAAGGACTCACAAAATCCCTGATCCTGGGCTGTGCAAGTAGGCACTTATCAACAGACTGCTTAACACCTGCCATGGCTCAGGAGTTTCTCCTTTCCCTCCTATGCAATCTGAGACAGTATCTCTGCATGTTATAGATATGTAGGGTAGCACCATACAAGAGATCATCGGAAACTAGAGCTATTGTTGCAAAATGCAATGTAGCCATAGCAAGTGAATCCTCTGGTCCATACTTTTCTGAGGTGGAGTTATAATAAACTATACCTGCTGGTTGTTTGTCCAGACCTTCAGAAATACCAATTTTTGGTCTGATTTGAGTTTACTACTACCCAAACTTAACATTTTCTTGACAGAATTTAAGTGGATTTTTCCTTTTTTTTTTTTTTTTTTTTTTTGGGGGGGGGGTGGTATATTTAAAATAATACAAAAGTTCATAACTTCAGAAAATATTTTGTCCTGGCCCAAGAGATATAGGGAAGAAAGCTCAAATGAAGCATTTATCACCACCTGCCTTGCATACCTTGCACTACTGATAACTTTAGAGACTGAATATATTTGATTTTGTATTGCATTAGAATAAAGCTAAGCTTCTTCCATATTTCTGCATAAGCCTTTTCTTTGAGAGAAATAAAACAATAACCAAAAAATGCTTATTAGATATTAAAACAATTCCAAACATATTTAACGAAAAATACTCATAAATTCACACATGTATTTTTATACTATAAATACCAGAGGCATTCAATCATTTGAAGCAGTCAACAAGTGTTCTCTGTGCAGATGAAATAAGTATTTAACGTTTGTTGTGAAGGAACTGTTATATACAACATTTTATACAACATTTTACACAAATGAATGCACAAGATGAAGAAGTTCGATATGTAAATAGAATATATGAGTTTTATATATTT